TGCTGTTTATTTTAGGAACTGCTCACCATTTTCCTAATGGAAGGCAGAATACACAGTGACGACTCTGGCAGCGGGGCAGTCAGACCAGTAAGTCAGTCTGGCCCCATGACGGATGGCTCGAATTGCTAGAAAAGTTCCTTGCCCTGAATGAGGGCCTGTCTTTTCATACTTTTCAATGTATTACTCTAGTTTTGTCCTTTGTGGTAACACAGGACACGTCTAAACACCTCCATTTGTTTCTTAAAGGTCAGAGGGCTCGGCCATGATGAAGTACACAAGTAATATCAATCGACAAATAAGATGCAAAAGCGACTCTGATTAACGAATTTGCTAATGAATTTTTGTAACAGATTTTCTGAAGGCAAAAGATGCTGATAGAAAATAAGTATCTAGCACTCTCCCCTGTGCCCACAAACTATAAGTACTTGACGGTCTTGGTGGCACGCAGTGATGACCACGCTCGGAACTGCTCTTCTCTGCCCTAGAAGTGGCTGAGCTTTGGCAGTGAAATGAAGACAGTTTCAAGCCAGGTAACACATGATGCTCAGGACTGTGCTCAAATTAAAAATTAAAAATAAATAAATAAATAACTATAAATGAAATGTAACAGGGGGAGCAGGGATGGGTCCTTTGGCACAAAGTTGTTTGCAGTCTTGGAAACATGGTCCTAGAGGCTCCCTTGCATGTTCTGTGGGCTTCAGTCCCAAACTTCAGCCCCAAAGTCCCAGACTGGAACTTCCCTAGTGTGCCCATTCTAGTTCCTGTGCTCTGAGACTCTGAAATAGCACCTGTGGTCTCTTTTGACCCTAAACCTTATTCTCGCCATTGTTTCTCCCTAAAGAAAACTTTGTGTCTTGGGCTTGCCTGAGGCTCCCAGAAACAGAGAGCCTGGGGACACCGGAGGAGCCAGCAGTAGAAGGCCACATGGGCCTGCACTTGCTGGCCAATGGGCTCTACACAGGGGGCTAGTGGTCCTGAGCAGCACCCGCGTCTGATTGGTGGGCTCTATTCCCATGCTCAGGGAGAGAGACAAATGCTCAAAGATTATTTTCTTCCCCACAATTGTGAATTGTGCCTAAGAAGCCTGAACTAGGAAAGAGACTATCTACCAGTCGGAATTATCACTTCAAAATATGTACTGAACTGAAACATTTTTGAAAAGCTCTTTGCTGTGAAAAATCCATTTAACCAAACTATATGCATATAGGAAGTCTATTAATACTGCCATTTTTAATCACAAAGATGAAATATGTAGATAATACATTATCATTCTATTATATATCATTAAATTCTTTTATACGCTTTAAGAAGAAAAACGTAGATCTTATGGTAAACCAGCAAAAGTAAAATATGGAAATTTAAATCTACACAGTCTGAATATGTGATGAAAAGCCATATTAAAACCTGATCTATAGAATAAACAATTTGCTTATTACTGAAGAATTCACTGACTTCTGGTTTAAACTCACACATCAATTTTCATTTGATGATTTTTCTTTCACTTGTTCAAGAGTTTGAAAAAGAGTATCCTTGTGTACTTTGTAGTTTTAAATGTCAATTATCTTGCAAAATTTGAAATAAATCTCCTCAGCCAAGTTTGAATCATGCAGGAGGTTAAAATACATCATTTGACCCTTGAAGCAATGATACGAGATTTCAGGAGGAAAATCCAATTATGCTACGCAAGGAAGAATAGTACCTCTTTGGAAAAAATAGTTCAAAAATTTTAGGGTGTGATTGAAAAAATAAGAAAAGTAAAAGGTTTTTCAAAGCTTTAAATTGCCAAGTTCCCAGCTGAGGTATTGGTTTTGTGCAAGCCCATGATCTTGCTGATGGTATTTTTATAGTAGGCACGGTGGAAGAGAGGACTTATTTTCATTCATACGATGACATGAGGGTACAAAAAAAACGTTTTCCTTTGCTTCCCATTCTCTCATTTGGGTTTAAAACAAAACATGGCAAATGCAAAATATAAAAGTAAACAGTGGTTCCTGCATTGAGGAAAGATGGATGAGAAAAGTATAAATAAAAAATGAGAGAAATGTAAACTTTCAGGTTTTCATAGAATCATTAATTCCCTGAGCACATAATGGAAATACTTAGGATAATCAGTTAAGCTTTTAAATATACATTTTCTTAACGAGAGAGAAAAGGTTGGGTGTATTCATGTTTTGATAATCGCCTTAACTTTTCTCTTTTTTGAGTTATGCTAATTGGGTCCCAACTAAACTGTATCAATAGTGATCGTTATAGTTAATGAAAAATAGTCCTGCTATTGTTATCGCATAACTAACAGGGTCTGGGTAGTAAGACTGTGTTCAAGTGCATTTCGCTCCCCAACACTGTTGTCAGTCAAAGGATCTGCTATCTTCTCACGCCTAGAACGCGCTCCTTCTGGACGCCTCAGGTGGCCGCCTACCTACCGCCAGAGGACACGGTATAAAGTGCATCGGATAAAGCCTACCATCTCTGATTCTCTTAAGAAGAAGCCATAAGAAACTCGAGGAACCACAGCTTCGAATAGGAGGCCCTCAGGCTCGATTTCCAAGCTGAGGGCAGATCCCCAACTTCAGACTTTGGAATTGTTTCTAGAATAGATTCTTAAGGAGAGGAGAGGCAGCGTGCGAGAGTGTGTGGTGGAGCGGGAAAGGGCACAGGAAAGAGGAAAGGCAAGACAGTACGCGGGGCTGCAGAAGACGCCACCGTCCACGCCGTCTCCGATGAGGACGGGAGGGAGCTCACCATGGGGGCCCTAGTCTCCTGCAGAAGTCAAAGGACTTCCTAAGTTTTTCAGGGAGATGTGGGCCTATCCACATCCGAGAGGCTAAGCCAGAGACAGACACCAGACTTGTCCACAGGCACCCTTAGCCCATGCCCTTTCAACCACTGCCTCCTCCGGCCTCGCTGACAGTAACATAGTTGAAACATGGCTGAAAGAATAATAACTGCCATTTTATTTGGAAAATGGAGAGTCATTGATGGACTGCTGCGAGTGACCAGCAGCCTCTGAAGGGAAGATCTAAGACACAGGTCTAGAGCTGGCTTTTCTCATCTTTCCATTTCGGTGTACATTGTCCATTAATCCCTGCCCGGGGATGTCTCGAAAGAAGAAAAACATTTGTAATGAAGGGCTTCTCACAGGGGTGGTTGTATTTTAAGGGTACAACCTCTTCCTCACTTCCGCTGGCATCCGTGATCAGTGTATTTCTATCTTCACTGCAACCCACCCCCACACCCGAGTACACACACACACGGGCACACGCACACACAGACACACACACACTTCTCTAGAGAACTTACTGGAGTATCTCATTCTGAGGACAGACAGCAGGGGTCCTGCTACAGTCAAGATGTGATGTAGCCACTGGGACAGCTGTGCTTTCGTGGATCCTCACGCCACAACCCCAGCCCCACCACACACGTCTCCTGACACACTGCCGGTCTTGACTTCTTGTATTCAGGGTCTTTCTTTCAGACAGAATCACACCGAGTATTAGTTCTTGGGGATCTCTACACACTATTCTTTACCCTAAACAATTCTTTGGTGTGACAAGGAACGGTTCTTTGAAACGATCTTGGACTAAAAGAAACAAAACAAAAACCACCCGTGACCATGGCTGCTGCCCACACTGATGGGAGGGTGTGGCTGGCTGGTGAGAAGGCCACCACTGTGTCCTTCTTTTCAATCAGACCGTATTATAAATATGAAGACAATGTGGCCTCGATATCTATCACCCAATGTCAGGGCTGATCTGGCCCGTCGGCCTGATATGACCACTCTCTGGAAACTACAAACTGCACTGAAGAAGGCAAGCTTCTTTGAAAGAGGAAACACTGGTCTTTGATTAAAGATGCACAGGTACTGCGACGCCCATGCTATAAACCTCGATGGATGTGTAAATATGAGGCACAGCAATCTCAGTTACCTGTCTGCCTTCCAGAATACCCAGACATCGAGGCTTACCGTTTGCTATTCGAAAACTCTTTTCTTGATCATATAGTTTAAACAAAGTATCTTGTATATAAGTACAGGTAATCTATCAAGCCAGTTTTTCATGGGGACACTGGTTGAGGAAGAAATGAAAGGCTCACCTTCTGAGAGTTTATCAGATTGGACGAGGACCTAGACTGGTTCTTAGTTGAGTTTCCTAGCAGTGAACTAGCCCATGCCCTCCATATATATGGCCCACGACTAATCAGTCAAGCCTCAACCTAGGAGCAGATGGACTGTATTACCAACATTAATACTAAGACATGAAATACCAGATGAGACAGGTATTTTCTATCTCCACTGGAAAATGCATTCATTTATTCCACAAATATTTAGTAAGCATTAGCTATGTGAATACATCGCACTAAGTGCTCAGGGTACATCAGTGAGCAAAACACCACGGAACAAAGCCCTGACTGCCACTGAAGCTCTTTCTTTCTGGTGAGATTCTAAAACACAAGTTCCTAGAATTTTAGGAAGACTCTTCTAATTTTTTTGAGGAAGAATCTTCTAATTGGAATCTTATAATCTTTTACATAATTTCTGAATAGGAAGAACAATGCTGATGTTTCTAAGCGGGGCTACAAGGAGAGACTAGTATCTATTGATAGTCATGACTTTCACTATAAGAAGAGAGAAACCCAAGATGCTGACTTTCTTCCAGGTGAGAGAAAAGAGAAGAGGGCTTGGCAGCAGCAAGCAGCTTAGCAATGTAGTCATTCGGCAAACATTTATTGAGCAACTACTATAAGATATTCTGATCTACTAGTTGAATCACTCCTTTCTAAGACAATCACTGCCCTCATCTGATATTGTTGATGGTGTGTATAAGTTACTTCAAGTCTTTGTTCTTCAATAGGCAACTTTTACGTAGGCCACAGGCAGAGGCATTTCCCATCAATGATCATTATGGCATTGGGTCTCAGAGAGCTACATCTGTGCACCAAGACTCTCAATGTCAAGGTAACACAAGCTCTGGCCTGAGAGGCTGAGGCTGTGCTGTTCTTACCATGACTGAGATGTGCAGAATCCTCAGCTCCTCCTCTGCCGACTCATGCTGGGGTTCTTGGGTTGGGTCTTGTCCAGGGAGGCTCGGGGCGCCATCTTGGTGATGGATATGAAAAAGCAAAGTGCCATTCTCCAGCCACTGCTGCCTCCAGCGCACCAGAGGGATGTCCTCTGTGTTCCCTGAGATCTCTAGAGGGCAAACACCAAGGGCACAGGTCAGAATTCCAACTGTATCGGTCCGAACCTTCTTATTCATCTTCTTCCTAGACACTGGTACCGATCGGCCAGTGTCAGCTGAAGGCAACACAGGGTTCCAGGTATAGTTAGGTCAGGCTGACTGCTGCTCCAAATCTCAGGGAAGAGGACAGACGCTGAGAAGAAGAGAATTATCTCCCATAGGTCTTTCCACAATAATCTAGGGAGCCCGACTCTCGCCCATTGAGAAAACTACCAAGGTAAAAATTCAAGTTCTTCTCCATACTTCTATGATCAATATCATCCTTTACCCAGCACAGTCTGAATACTCTGATCGCCCCCCAAGGTAAATACAAGGTTGTTTTCCTCTTGTAAATTAGAAAGTGTGAGTTCCTTAGCAATTACTTCTAGACTCTGGTGAATCTACCAAGGAGGGAGTTGGTAATTACTATGCAGAGAACTGGCGCTTATGGAACAGTCCTGGGAGGTTACTGCAGGGCAGCTGGGGCTGACAGGTCATTTCTGAAACCACAAACATTTGCTGCACAGTCCACTGGAGATGTCTGATACTTGCTGTGGCAGGTAAAGTAATGCATTAACTCCCTTTAATTTTTCTCTTCCTTTTTGCAGAGGAGAGGAAGTATACGTGGAGAGGGTGGTATAGAAGTGGGCTCTTATCCCAGACACAAGCATTCATCTGCTCTTGGGGCTCCAGACCAGGGCATTGCACTATCAGCATCAAATGAATAACAAAATACCAAAAACCTACGATGCACTTCATGCTGTTGGTGCTAAGATACTGCTGCAGAAGTACATCATCATGTGTTGCTCTTGCTCGTAACACTAAGCAACATCATGTCAAAGCCTTGAGACATTCCACAATAGAGAGACCTGGTTAACTTGGTCTCTCCCGAACTTCATTTGGCCCCCAAACTATTATTTCTTTAATAACTATTACCACCCTAAGGAACTAATATTATGCTGAACACACTCTGGCTTTATAAAAGCTTTGCTTTATGAAACTTCATTTTTTAAAGGCATGGCTCCTTCTCCCAAAATTTATCACCTTTGACCAAAAAAATAATTCCATAGACATAAAAAAGATTTAATAAGACACATTTAGAAGAGTATTCTCATCAAGTACCACAATCATAAAGAGGAAAGCAATGTTAAATATTTATGGAGTGTGTAAATATCTTTCATTATTTGTGTGAAGGCACAAATGATGTACTGCTTTATTTATTTACTTATCTATTCATTAATTTAGCAGACATACATTGGGTGTGTATTATACAGCAGACACTGTTCTAGGCACTAAGATACTAATCTAAAAGAGGCCCTCAACAAGATCTCTAAGGTAATCCACCACAAATGGATGTGGTAAGTGTTACACCACGTGCAGGACAAAATTTAAGAAAGAAAGACTAATTTTGCAGGGGTAGAGGGTGGAAGAGGGGAAGAAAGCAGCCTTCTCAGAAGGTGATTCCCGCAAAGAATGTGTATGAACCCCAGGTCATCAGCTGTTGCCTGAAAGACACCGACATAATCTCTTATCCCACAGACCAGAGTGCAGAATAAACCAGGAAGTGGGAAGGAGGTCCAGCAGGCAGCACAGCCAAGGTGATCAGGCTCCCTCGCGTCCTTGGCCCTGCTCCCTAATCGCCTAGTGGACTCATTCATCCCAATGGGTGATGGGCTGGTGAGCTGTCCGTGTTCTAGGAAGTGACTGTCACAAGCATCCAGGAAGCTGCTGTGGGCAGAGGGTATGAGCGTGCAAAGTCCCCTGCATCCTGGTCCTGATTTTTCACAGGCACAGCCTGATGAGGCAGTGACATTGGCTTCCTGTTTACCTTTCTGCTGAGGAAGATTTCGCGATTTCCAGGTGAAGAGGAACCCTTGGGCGTGAGTCTGAGGGCGCCCACTTGGACCAGCGCAGCCACACCACAGGTCACCTCCAGCCACTAACTCTCCTGGACAGCAGCACCTTTTTAACTGCTTACCACGCCTCCACATCAAAGCACTGGGAAGAGTCCTTCTGAAAAACACACCCTCCTCCCCCAAGGCCTCGCCCTGTCATTGCTGTAGAAACCAAGCTCTGTCTCCTTCTCACACAGACAGAAAAATCACCAGCACTACCGGTTCCTACGAGAGCACCTAATGGCATCATGCAATCACCCAGAGCAGCGTGCATCCAGCCTCCCGTCCGCACCTGCTATACCTAACCCAGCCCGAGATTTGTTCCACGCACGTCGATGTCACTTCAGCCCTTCCTGTAAGTAGTCAGAAAGAATCTGGCCCCTCATCGCTCTAAAGCGCTTAACAAACCAGATTGTTATTTCCCAAGAGATGCTCAGCAAGTAGGTCAGGCTCATTACCTCTGCTTTACCTGCGGAAGCAAAGACACGTAAATACCCAAACCAAGGTCACCCTAGCTTGACTCAGAACAGGGAATACAGAAGATGACCTTCTACCAGATCCCCTCCACCAAAACTCACACCGCAGAACATAATCTGCCTTCGAGCGTGTGTGCGCACACACGTGCGCGCGCGCACACACACACACACACACACTCACACACAGAGGAAACACTTGAGAAATCCTTTTAGGAGTTTTTGAGCTACAGTTTTTTAACTTTTCGCGCAGGGTTTTAGTATTGCATGACTTCACTTAAAAATGAGTTATAATTTACATGTCCCCAAACTCACCCTCTCTAAGTGTGCAATTCAGTGGATTTAAGTACATTCGGTGTTGTGCGACCATCATCATTCTAATTCCAGAATGCCTTCACCAGCCTCGAAAGAAGCCCTGTGCTTACTGTCAGCCTGAGACTTTTCCTGCGGAGGACGGGTCTTGCTCCAGGGCTCCAGGAGTAATGGCACCAAGCAAAGCACAGGTACGGTGACAGTGCTGACAAAACGCTCCCGGGGGGCTGAGGGCGCAGCACCGTGGCCTCAGCTGTGGGGTATGCATGCCCAACCCTGTGGAGGGGGCATCCTGATCCTGCCCAGACCAGACTCATCACAGAGGGCAAAGGGCAAAGGAAGGAGAGCCACACATGCCAGTGAGGGCGATGTCCTTTTTCAGATTTGAGATAGTTAGGACAAGATGGCTTTCTCCTTGGCTTTTCTCCCACTCCTGGCAGGACCTGGCACGGAAGAACTAAAATGCCGAACCAGGAGCTTACTTACCTGTGCTGTACCTGGCCCAGGTCAACCAATGGAAAACCACACAGGGCACGGTGAAGGTCTTGTGAATGTCATTGCTGCTGGGACTGAGACCAGAGTGTGGAACATGGACGCAATCATGTTGGTCTGCATGGCAGCAGAATAACTATCTCAAGAAGAAATACTCAGAAATGGCTTTACCAATGCCAGCCTGCCCCGAGACTTCCGAGGAGCAAACGGGGGAGGTGATGAAACGCCCTAGTCCGAGGCTTCCCAAGGGCTGCAGACGAGGCTCAGATAGAGCCTTTGCTAAAATGTGCTGAACAAAACAAGCGCCAACAGGAGCCTATGCGATCCTCTCAAGATACCACGGGTGGCATGAGCACTGAAGCCGTCATCACACTGGGGGCTGAGAGCTCCAGAAGGCACGGTTGCTCTGTCTTTGAGCCTGTCCGTTCTTCTCCTACACAAAACTCCCATCTCATGGCACCTTCCAAAATTCTGGCGCTGCCTGGAATACACAGAAACTAGGGTGCCATTTATTCTCGTACACAACAAATATTTTTGGAGTACACCATATTTGCCACAGTCGGCCAATTGTGCCACATGGTCCCTACTCTCGAGGAGCTTTTGATGTAGTAAGAAACTGAAGACACGGCCATGAGTAAGTCCTGTAAACAGTAATCGCGGTACTGAGTAAGCGGGTGGAACTTGGCTGGGCATAAGCCCATGGGAAGAGATGAACTGGGAAGAAATTCTCAGAGGCAATTCCAGACGCAGAGGACGGTGTGTACGAAGGAATGGCTGGATAGCACATCTGCAGAACCGAGGGGGGTCGGGTTACACCTCAGGGTGGAGGATGTGAACGGGAGTAGCAGAAGATTGAGGCTAAAAATGCAGATTGGTGCCAACTGCCAAAGTTGTGGATCCCAGTTTAAGGAGTTCGGAGCCAGGGGAAATCACCCCCCATTTTATCGAAGCAGAGAAGCAAATGAATCCATGATTTAGAAAGACGGAGAAGACTCAGAAAGAGAGAAGCTGGCAGACTAGGTCCAACCACAGTGGAACGCAGTCTTCCGCAGCGTTCAAAGTTCTGAACTAGATCTCAGGAAACCTAGGTCTGGAATGACCTTCAATGAGCTGCCCCCACGTGAGTTTTCTCATCTGTCTAAGGAGGGGCTGTATAGATGAATTTCCAGATCCTTTTGTAACTTTGACAATCCACAGTTCTGAGCCCAAAAGGGTGTGCTTCATGTGACTACCTAGAAAGATGACCATTTCAATGTCCCAAACAACATCAAATCATCTCTTAAGGCCAATCTGTACTCCACCTCTCCTCGCTCTCTGAGCACAGGGAAGACAGATGTGGGATGTGTTGGTCAGAGCCTTGAAGAGCCAGGCCCGTTTCTCAGATGGAACCTCGGGCTGATGAGAAAGGTTCCACTCACGCTGCTACGGATATGCGGTTTCTAAAGCAGAAACCTCGGAGCTTCTGTATGTAACAGAGAACCTCGATGATGGTAACTCGGGCAGGGAAAGTCACGCTAGAGAATAATCTGGGATGGGGAGAGGCAGTGGGAAGGAGAGAGAGATGAAATCACGTTTGAATCGGCCTTAGTCATTGTTCTAATGTTAGCTTGTGTGCTGTTAGCTTGCAGCACTGTCTTTTTGTGGGGTTAGCTTAAGATGCCCAAATCTCGCTGTAAAAATACCTTTTCCAGGCATTACAACATTCCCATGCCATCCGAGGGCCTTGCTACTGCCTGAGGCCTCCCTCATGCTGAAAATCCCAGAACGGAGCTGCCGAGACAACACACCAAATATGGATCG